CTGCGCGTTTAGTGCCGTTTAAAAGAAATATCCGGGCGTCACAACTAGAATGATTTATTGCAACTTAAATATTGGGTTTTGAGTCTTGATATTGGGTATGCGTTATTTCTATACATAAAGAAATAAAAATATATTCAAGTTTCATATTATAATAGTAATATATATAAAGCGGGAGGACTTCAGCTGTAGGTTAAAAAACGGTCGATAACTCCATCCAAAGTAATCTCAAAGCATAAAATTAACTTTACCAGTAACTTTACCAGTCGGTCCACAACTTGGCGCTTAGCGAAATATAATTCGAATACAACGAAGTTGACGAACGTCCGCCGTAAAGACTCGAATTTAATTCATCCCGTCAAACATTTTCATCATTAAATTGTGCCGGCAGCCACAGTATTAAGTAAACGACCGCGTGAATTAAGGAAAACGTTTAAAATGTCCGCGCGAGGCCGTCGCGTAAATTAATTATGACTTGGCAAATACCGGCCTCTTTGTCCGACCAGGGCACAATTGCCAGAACCAACAAAACTGTTACATTATGCCAACTAGGTAAACGCGAGTCGCTTATGTAGAACGGACAAACAATGTGTATACGCGGCGCTGGAATATTGTGTTTGGATAGAAAAGGGCCCCAACGACAACATTAACATACAATGGCGCGCGTTCGCCTCCTATCTACCGATTGTGCCTTTTTCTTCCTCTCTCCTTATCCGTAAACGGTTCCAATCATCGACTCACGACCTGTGAGGGTTGTCGCGAGAAAGGTTGAGCATACAATTTATTTATTGATTTAAGTAACTAATGAAGCTTGTCCGACAACGCGGCGTTCTTGTTTAATTGTATTTTTTATAAACGTATATACAGGGCAGACCAGCCAAGACGAGACAAAGGATTCCTCTGACTGACAAATGTTGCATTTTAAAAATACTTTCAACGTGATTTGATTTCGCGATTGACTTGAATTGCGGAGTTTTAATTAGGTAAGTATTTTTATTCGCTGGCCGAATCAAAATTTCAACAAAAAAAAACTAACAAAACAGAAATTGCAAAATGCTGTAAAATTTTCACCAATTCAAAAATTCAAGTCAATTCACAAGTCTAGAGCAATATTAACCCACGCTGTCTTCTATAAACGTTTAAAATGTAATTGTTATTTTTTAACTAATTGTTATAAAAATCTGACTGTCTAAGTGACCAAAAAAATTAACAAAAATAAATTGTCGTAAAAATCCGAATACAATATTCAAAAAATAAATCGACAGTGTGGTTGCTTAAGTTTGCTATAAGGTAATTTTTTTATTAATATTTTGTTGTTTTCAAATAGAAATTTAAAATAAATATTTGGCAAATGAAATTAGATTTTTTTAATATCCCCAGTCTTATTACTGATGTTTTATCTTGTTAAGAAGAATTATTTCGAAATTTTACACTTAGGTTTAATTACACATTGCTTAAAACACTAAAAATATTAATTTTCTTCAAATATTTGATTTTGAACAAAATTATACCAGATTGATTTGATTTTGATAAATTAAACATGTTCTTCTAGTCCCGTCTGTAAAATGCCCAATTACACACCGATCTAACGTGCGGGATGCGCCACTTTACCATTTCAGTTTCGTTTGCCACGGATCCGAGCCACTCCGGACATTTCCGGGATTTTACCGCACGGATTTGGGAGCAATCGAATGTTTTCGAAGATATTTCCCACGCCTTGAATTGTGACGTTTGTAAATTCTGACGATCATGTCAAATGTATCCAAAACAAGTTCGGTAAACTTTTTTAGTCACTCATTTATTTAAACACTCGCTCCGCTCGTTTCAAAACTCATGAGTCCAATGCCGTTTATCGAACTTATTGCATAATATATTATTTTCTATTCTCTTCTGTGAAATACAAAATTTTACACCCATCTAGGGTGCGGGAAGCATCACTTTGCCACGTGAGTTTCTTGTCCCATGAATCCCATCCATTTCGGATATTGCCGGGACTTTACCGCACGGGCGTGAGAGCAATCGGATGTTTTTGTTTAGTTTTCCATATTTCAGTTTCTTCCATATATTTTTTCCATATACTAACACACCGAGAATCGCCTAGGGCGCCGAGTTATGCAATTATATCCCCCCTTCAAATTTCATTTTGAACTCAGTTCCCCCGGTTTACAACAATACCATATACGCTGTACTGGATCAAAAGTGTTCAATGCTCTGTTTACTGAACAGAGTTAAATCATAAAATAGAGTAAAAGAAAATGGTTAACTGAGTGGATTAGTCTAAACAGTGGTTTATTTGGAATAGACTAGAAAATAATAAACAACCTTTAGTTGTCTTAAGATACCATAGCTCGCCCAAAAAATTATTGTTGAGAATTGTTAAATTTGGATAATGTATGGTATGATTGTTAATAGTAATGTAATGTAATTGGTGATTGTTAATATTTAAAATGAAATGAACAACAATAAATTGTTCTTATTGTTATTATTATTATTATTATTATTATTATTATTATTATGTTATTGTTGCGCTACCATTTTAAAATAAAAGAAATTCTTTCAAATTCAATTCTGCTGAGAAGTAATCCTCCGTCAAGTCTTAGTTGATCCACCCTGTATATTGCGGTTAAAGTGTTTAGTTAGCATGAACTATATCTGCGGATTTTGAGAAAAGAAAGTATGTATGTATACCGAGTGGCCAATATAACATCATGTGACTGATCTATCAACGGATTTTTTATAAAATATTTTCAAGCGTGCGGTGTTGTCACGTGTACATTAACGTAAGATAGTTTAATTTAACTGCTAAATATATCTTGTGATTTTCCATCCGCTTATATATTTTTCAGTTGTTGGAATTATTGCATGTATTTTTTTCAAATCTTTCTTTATAAAAATGGTTCAATAAATAGTTGGAATTGTTTAACAATTTTAGTTCAGCGTAAACTAAGCGAACAGCAACTCGATTAGTTTTGAAAAATTGGCCTCGGCGATACCCTATCGAATTAGTATACATTTTCATTGTGATAATAACGTAAATGAAATGTAATATTATTTATTTCGAACGCTTTAGAAATTTCCATCCAAATAATAAAATGAGCCTTTAATTAAAAGTGCAACCGGAAAAGAACACAAAAAAACGAGAAAAACGCAGATATACACGCGTGGACTTTTTTAATGCATTTTTTTTTTCGCCCGAAATGTTTACGCCATTGTCGGAATAAATGTTTCCGGGATGAAATAAATTAACGCCGGCGGAAAACGGTCGCCCCCGCCGCGCGATCCCCTTCGGATAAAACAAAAATGCAGTTGTTTTAATATAAACACGCCGCTAAAAAAAAAAGAAAAAAGAACACATTTGAAAATCTGCCGCGGCAGTTTCTCTGTTGTTTGCTTTTTATTTGGGTTTAATTTCGAATGTTAAATTTGCATTGGGCGTCGCAGTTATTCATGTTCCGGTGCGTTGCGGCATTTGAATTTTTGTTGTTGCCCGCAAATTTTGTCGCGGACGAGCGGACAACAAATAAATCACTCGACCCGTATCGAAAATGTTTCCGACTCTGTCTTCGGATCTTACCTATCGTAGGTACGCACTAAATGTGCCTATGAGAAGGTGATTTTTAACCTAGGTGTATTTCTATTACTTAAAAATTATAAATAAACTAAAAATATTAAGAAATATACAAATAAAAATAAAAAACACTGAAAGCTGTTGGATGGTGAGATCAAAAATTAAGATTTATCCCCAATTGCTTATATAAATTTGTTTTTTAAACAAAATGATTATTTTGAGAACCACAATTTGACTTGACCTGACGAAAGTAATTAGTAATAGTAAAAGTAAATGCGAACATTTTTTCATCACTTATGGTATAACCGTCCACTTTAGAACGCAGTCAAGATACGTTTGAAAATATGAGTGGCTTATTGACTTATAAACATTAAAAAAAATACTTTAATTGCAAGCGAAATACACGACCAGTTGCATATGATGGTTCCCAAAGTTTAGATCCAGTAATTATGACCTTTCCGACCTATGTCTATCCGGAGAACCAGCAACTTTTGTTAATAATCTATTAAAGTGAAAGCAGATCGTCGTCAGTTGTCACAAGCACTTAACCAACATTGGTCCACCGTTCAAGAGCATTTGGTACAGATTGGTAAGCAAAGCAGAGCAGGTGTTTGGATTTCGTATGACTTATCCGAGGTAAACAAAGCTAATTGGACCACCAAGTTTGACTTGATCACTTGATTACAGGGGATGAGAAATGGGTTTTATGTGACAATCTAAAACGCACAGGACTGCGAAACCGGGCCTGGCCTTCACCCAAGGAAGGCGCTCTGGTGGGCTTGGTTTAATATTCGCGAAATCCTACACTTTGAAGTTCTGGAACCTGGACAAACAATCTATGCTGACCTTTATTGTCAACAGTTGCATCGTGTCAACCAATCTCTGACCAAACAATGTCCAGTTTTGTTAAAGAGAAAAGGCGTTATCCTGTACCATGAGAGTGGAAGACCACCTACCCCAAAGAAACCGTTGAAAAAATTAACGATCCTAGCTGGAAAAAACTTTACTTTAACGATGAACCAATTATTTTTTTAAAATCGGGCATTGAAAATTTATTAAAAAGATAGCAAAACGTGATTGATAGCAATTATGTTATTGATTAAAAATAAAGCCAAACAAAAATATATGTAGTTTAAAATAATGATAGAAAAACGACGTTACTTTCCGGTCCCCCTATTATTTGTGAGCAGAAATTACAATAGATAACATTATGCTTTTATTGCACATGCATAATGGTATATAATTTTCTTAGCATTAATTTAACATTATTTCAGGAATAAAAACATTTTCTTCATCGGTCGGACTGGTCAATTGATACAAAAAATTTGACCGGTCAACGCTATTTATACGTATATCTCTTGCAAATATAAATAAATTTCTGTGTGTGTTTCATATCACAAAACGCCCGCTCATTATTTATTTTTATTGTTTTCAGGGCCCCCCTCAGCCCGGCCAGCCGTTCAAATTCACAGTGGGAGAGTCCTGCGACAGGATAAAAGAGGAGTTTAATTTTTTACAAGCACAATATCATAGGTGAGTAATAACGCAAGCACAAAAAACCATACGGAATCTGCTTTTTGGCCGATACTGTACCCGCATTAAGAATACCATCGCTGTCGCCTCATTTCACAAGTTTTCACGTTCTGAACACAAAAACTACAGCCGTTACGTAAAATCAACGTCCCATTGCTCCCGTCTCGTTCACCTAATAACTTAGTAGTCCAGGTCCGGACTCCCCACGAACACCGACATAATTCAAACCTCTTCAAATCACTTTTAAAATAAACGCTTTATCTAATTTTTGCGTCTAAGCTTGATCAATACTAACAATAACAGTAGGGAAATTTTTATTTCAAATTTTCGTAAAAATTAAATTCGCTTGTGGTGGTATGAATAACAAATTTTATTTTTTCTTCATTTTTGGGTGCAGTGCCCGTTGCCATGTTAATGTCCTTTTCAATGGGTCCAAATAGTCTCTTTCGGAAAAGTCTTTATTTATTTTTTTTTCTGATTATGTGTCCGAAATATTCGTATTTTTTTTGTATGTATGGTCCATTCCATGTTTATAGCACAATAGCAGTGGAAAATAAAAATGATCCGTTGTTTATCAATCGAGTTCTATAAGTTGCATCAATTTGCTGCAATCCGGCCCTGGGCATTGGTCGTCCGGCAAGTTGTTTGGACGAGTAAACAATTTATCTCCTTACTTGGGCGGAAAACTGAAAAATTCTCGCGGTTGATTTGCAGAAGACATGCACATTAAGCGCATTCCCGCGATCGCGAGAGAGATAGAGAAAGAGCGAGACGCCGTAATTGATTTTTAAACATCTCTTAGATATTTCCGACGATAGTACGTCCATTATAATGATTGCACGTTTAGGAGCGACCCGGGTAACAACGTCGAACTAGCGAAAGGCACGAGGAACTGAAGTAATACCCTTATTGGGATGTAAATGCTGCGATGTTTGCGAATATCGTAGCAGTTTCCTTTAGTGAAATGAAACGCGACGTATAGTTGAGCATTTGGCGTTTTGTCTTCGTATATTCTTCCCTGAGGGTTTTGTGCTTCTTTATTTAACAATTAAAACGCTTTTGCTTTGGTTTTCAATCCATATCTAAAATTTGGATGGTTGATTGTTCTTTTTTTCTCCAAGTAAAGGTCAGGAGTCGCTCTAGTGATGTGTTTTGAGACTTGCGTATCAGACCGTTTCCGCTTAGTCACGATTTCTCTCGATTGTAGGTTGAAGCTGTTGATATTTTTTGTGGGGTACGATGTGTCCGAGGTAATTTTTTTTCTTCATTTTGATGGTTTGGAATAAATGGGCTCTTGAATTTTCTTCTTCCTCGTAACATTCTCCCATAGAGTCACATTTCAAATGTGTTTTTATAACTTCTTGTTAAGAGTCCGTGTTTAGTTTCGGGCGGCAGAGGAGTTTGAGCGTATTAATAATTCCTGTTTTGGTGATTTCAATGTGTGTCCTGTAGTCCAGCTAGAAATTTACTTCTCTGATGTAAGTCTTCACGCTTTGAAATATTTTGGTCTTCCGGCCTTCGACTGAAAACACTCTGTACATACTTAGAGTGCTCATTATTAATTGTAGCTGCTCTTCAGATTCCACCAAAACCGCCGCGTGTGCGCGTAATTTTCTGATTATGTATTGCACATATACATTGAACAGGAGGGAGCAAATGAGACATGCTTGTCGAACCAATTTTTCTATTCCGATGTAGCTGTTACTGTGTGATTCGGTGGAAGATCAAAGGAATATCTGATCGTTGTCCCAAAAACTCTAGAAAAGATTCAGAAGAATTACTTGTCGAGCGATCAAGAAGATGGATTTAAAGATAAGCGTGATACTCCAGCGCCTCCGCCAAATTTCGCTCTCGATCCTAGAGACGCATTTTTCACCGCCCTACAATGACAGAATCTAGGTCCGAAAAATGAAGCGTTTCATAAAATATATATACCGGTTTCCCTTGGAGACAGGCATATGTTAAAAACCCCGGGGCATCGAATTCTTAGCGCTATTTTTGTTTCAAGACAAAATCAATCTGTTCCAACGATTAAAACCAGCGGCGGTTCTACTTTAACCCAGTAGCGGCGGTTCCTCGTGATATCCCCGAGCGATATCTGTGCTATATAATGTTAAAAACAATGTAATACTTCCTCGTTTATTGTACTCGGATACATAGTGGCCAGGTTTTCAATGGGTATTTTTCAAATAATTGAGGAAAAGGGTCAGTTTAATGGGATACAGGTTGTGGATTTAGATGGATAGAAAAATTAAGTTTTCAAAGGTGGACTAAAAAATATTATTAAAAAACCATATTCTATGATTTTCGTATTTCCTTTATAGCGCGTTAATTTTCAATTTTTAAAAAAGTTAGCCAAACGGCGTAAGGTTCGAAATTTGTTTCTTGGATTTCACTTTTGTCTACCGGAGATTACAATTTGAGCACCTGTGAATTTCATTTTGAGTCACTTTTCTGGCCATATTTTCCACTTATTTTGCTGTCGAAAAACTCCAAAACATTAAAACCAGTCCGTTGCTATTGATCTACTACATTTTTGAAAGTGGACGACGATTAAATACATTTATTTTATTTATTTTCGTTTATCTTTGAGGATTGAAAAGGTCTTTGGTGATTTATTAAAACGCTTATCTATCACTAGGCGAGAAAAAGAACTAAACGCTTGACGGATTTTGCGTTATTTATGTGAAATTATTGTTTTTGCGTTGTGCAATATTATCGGCCAACAATGGGAAACGGAGCCGACACGTTAATTGTTTATATTGTTAATTAATAATATGCATTTCGAAAGCGTTCGGTGTTTCCAAGAAATAATTGCGTTTAAACGGCAATATTATTATTGTTATTATTATTATTATCATTATTGTAATATTTCAATGATTTATCGTTAATAAATTCGCCGTTGTATATCTCTAATTAAACAATCGCGTGATAATTGCCGCGGATAAATATAAATGAAGAACGTGACGTAAAATTCGTTTGTCGTTGAATTTATGCAAACGCCATTTTATCATTATCGCCGCGGTGTGTTTTTGTTTAATTAATTTTAATTGTTTGCGTTTGTTACAGTTTAAAGTTGGAATGCGAAAAGTTGGCGAGCGAGAAGATCGAAATCCAGAGGCATTACGTGATGGTAAGCCGCGTTTATATTATTTTTTATTCAATCTGTCTAATAAACCCAAGAGCACCTGAACGTTAATTTACGAGGAAAGCTTTTCTCTATTTAGGTCAAGGTTATTATAACAGCAATATTAAAAAATAGAGGTCAGATACATATATAAGGTTGTTCGGAAAGTCATTTCGTTTTTTCCCGTCAGAGGACTTAATTACGTTTTTTCGAAACCAACTTCACACTTAAGCCGCATAACCATTATATGTCTTGAGAGCTGATATTGCAAGGCTTGTGTGTGAAAAAGTTCTATTAATTCTACGCAGTAGTTTTTGGTTGGTGCACTTTTAAATATGGAGAGCAATAAGCAGCATTTTCGTCATATTTTACTTTTTTACTTCAGAAAAGGTAAAAATGCTGTCCAAGCGAGAAAAAAATTGACGGATGTGTATGGAGAAGGCGTGTTAACAGTACGCCAGTGCCAGAACTGGTTTGCAAAATTTCGATCCGGCAATTTTGATGTCGAAGATGCACCACGGTCTGGAAGGCCGGTCGAAGTTGACAAAGATGCGATAAAGGCAATGCGAGGTTGATGCAAATCGGCGAATAACCACACGAGAGATCGGTGAGAGATTAAATTTGTCGAATTCGACTGTTTATGGCCATTTGAAAGGCATGGGCTTAACCTCGAAGCTCGATGTATGGGTGCCCCAGGTCCTTACGGAACGAAATTTGTGTCGTCGCGTTGACGTGTGTGATTCGCTCCTCAAACGTCAAGAAAATGATCCATTTTTGAAGCGGATTATTACTGGGAACCAAAAATGGGTTGTATACAACAATGTTAAACGCAAGAGGTCATGGAGCAGAAAAGATGAACGGCGCAAAGCGTGTCAAAAGCCAACATTCACCAAAAAAAGGTGATGCTCTCCGTTTGGAGGGATGTCAAAGGATTCGTTTTTTTTTGAGCTTTTGCCGGACAATACAACGATTAATTCAGAAGTCTATTGTCATCAACTGGACAAATTGAATGATTCACTTAAAGAGAAGAGGCCCGAATTAATCAACAGGAAGGGTGTAGTGTTCCACCAGGATAATGCGAGACCTCACACAAGTTTGGTCACTCGCCAAAAACTTTTACAGCTTGAATGGGACGTACTGCAACATCCACCATATTCTCCAGATCTGGCGCCTTCCGACTACTATTTGTTCCGGTCCCTGCAAAATTTTTTGGATGGCAAAACCTTTACCTCAAATGAAGATCTCAAAAACCACCTGAACCAGTTTTTTGCCATCAAGGACCAAAACTTTTATTAGAGGGGAATTATGTTACTGCCAGAAAGATGGCAAAAGGTGTTCGACCAGAATGGCCAATATATAATTTAATAAAATATTTATTCATTATACGAAAACTGTCTTTCATGTTCCCAAAAAAAAAACGAAATGACTTTCCGAACAACCCAATATTTGTATTTATTATTTTAAATCGACTTATCGAATATAGAAGCCGTTTGCAGATCGCACGTTAAATGTTAATTTTATTGATGTGTAAGTTGTATTGAAAATATTTTATAGATATTTTGTAAAATATTTAATTCCTAAAAGAAAATACAGTTTTCGGTCACCGTTGTTTTTCATCGCAATATTTGCTGCTAATTCCTATTTTGGTGATTCTTGGGATTATGGTAATGCACGGAACGTTTCCGTTGTCGAATAGGTCCACAGACCCCCAAACGTTTGGGATAGACGAGCCAATGCGAAAAAGAAGGAAGTATTGAAACTAACTGTCATAATGCTAAAAAAAAATAATTTTGAAAATGCAAGGAGTGACTAAATCGGTAGTATGGTAGTATATATTGCCAAATTGCGTTTTACTCAAAGTTTTCATTCATTGAAATTTTTAAAGGCGAGTCTGAAATTGAGATTGTTAGCGGTTAGCGGTAAATTTTAATTAAAAACGGAATGCATACGAATTCTGGCAAGATGATACAAGTGGGTCAAATCTTCCGCACTTACCGTAAGTGTTAACTTGCAAGGTAGAGGTCTTGTTAATTAAAAGTTTAGCATTATATTGAAAAACCGACCCATAACCTTTTTTAACCTTACATGGTGACCACGTGAAAACACATGTCGCATTTTAATTACGGACAAGCGCGCAACCAAAGTGGGAGAGTTGATCGACTAAATATCGCGGAACATTGTGTTCCGAAACGCGCTAACTACCTCCAGTACACGATTTTAACATTCGTCCATTATCGAGTTTTCGATTGTTTCTTTTTCCCGCTCACATTAGCGATGTCCGACATTGTTTTTAACGCAAGTACATGCTTTGTACTTGAAAGCGTACGAAAACATCAATTTATTACTTAGGAATTTCCCAACTTTGTTGTAGCTCATTGGTTGAGGCAACTATGGTCTCTGATCACGTTGACAGTAAAAAAAGATGTTTCTCGATTTGTTAGGTTGGAAAGTGTTATTATTATGTAACCAGGTACTCTTATCAACAATTCGAAACCCGATTTGCAATTTACATCATTCAATATTGCATCTGATAAATTTTTATTGGAATCAATTCCGACTCAAGCCTAGCGCCATCATCCTCAATGGTAACTGGTGTAGGAATTAATGTTGTATCCTTTTTTATTTCTCTCTTTTCTTCATTGTGCGTTTATTTTGATTTTCTGGAAATTTTGACATGGTGTCGAACTGGAATTTTCTTTCTTGCACGTGCCGAAGGGCCACAATTCTTGTGTTCTAAATAATTATTTTTGCTTCATAAAAATGCAATGTTTACTCTTTTCTACGCTCAAATTAGGTACGTATTTGACGGGCACAGGTAACGAAGTCAGTTTGCGTCTATTTTAATTCTTGCGAGTTGTAATTTAGCTGTGGATTTATCATTGACAAGCGGAGTGAATCGCACAGATCTTATGTAATCTTTGTAAGACTGATCGTTGATTGTTATTTCGTATATTTTTTTCTGCCCACCCCTTTTGCGGTCGGGTGGATTGATTGGTGCTGAAAATATTTCATGTTGCCTTGTGGGAAATAAAAAAGTAATGTGTTACCCACTTGTTGCTTGGTTAGTTTGATGTTGTCTTTTTTATCTTCAAAACGTAATATCATTTGCGTGCAAATGTTCGTCTGGTGGATAGACCTAATCTGTTTAAAAGCACTAATTAGCTGGTTGGGTAACACGAGGTTGTAGCTTCTACAAACCCTGTTATAATCATTATATTTTCGCTTGGTTTTTATTTAAGATTAAGAACAAGTTTTTGGTTCTCGATAGAGTTGAGCATTTGAAACTGACGTCATTGCATATCCTCGGCGTGGAACCTCTATTTGTTGTATTATTTGACCATATTTTGTATAGTTGTTTAGTGTCTTATCATATCCAAAGTGTGTTGGGGCGTCCTTTCATTTTGGAATCACTAGGGATCCTTTCGGGAGACTTACGAGGTTAGTAGCCGTCTTTTTCATACCTAATTGTAATTGTAAAATGAAATCTTCGACGACTGTGTTTTAGATTAACTTTTTCCTGTCATTTTACACCACTAATTCATATACTGGCTCTAATCAAATCAAAGCTTACCTGCAGATATATTATTTAACCGCTGTGTTCGAAAAAATCTGTCCATTTCGGAAATGTCAGAGGCTTGCTAGCAATCCAAAGGTAACTCGATTCCGCGAAGTTTTAAAATGCCATGTGTGTTTCATCGTCAATACCTAGTGGTTCTATGTCATTTGTGGTGCGATGTCGAGATATTCATATCGCGATTAAGATTTTCTGGGAATTGAAAAACCAGGCACAACATCGACTACTCATTAAAACTAACATTTAAGCGGTCGCTATAATAAATTCGTTTTATTATTTATCGTTTTGCCGGTTAATGTAATTGGAAAATTTTCCTCGATATATAACCTCTATATAACAGTGTGTCGGTGCTGCCTCGAATCTAATCGATGAAATGCAAATGCGCTAGCGTAATTACACGTATTGTTAGTTTATTCACTCGACTACCAATAATCATATACGTACGGTATGCTAATATGACGTTTTATAATTATTTTATATATTAATTCCGTCGTTGTCGGCGTACCTCTTTTGTTTGTATTTGTTCAACGCAATTCCCGCCCATCTGCTCTATATGCGTCGCGTATATCTGTCTAATGATATTTGTGTCACGTATTCACGTATGTATATTATGTATATTAAATTGTGATTGCGAATGTTTTGTTTTTGACTATTTGTTTATTACGTAGGCTCGGTATTCGCAATACAGCGTGGAATGTCGACTAACTGAAAGACGCTAAATATAAAAAAAATATAAAATATATATAAATACTGAATATTTGAAATAACATGCAGTATGTGTTTTGGTATCTTAAATCTCTGCGTAGGATTTGATTGTATAGGCGGAATTTTTATTGCTCTTTATAGCTCAATGTCATTTTTTGAACAGAATTCAAATTCTAGAATAATAGGTTATGTTACGAAGCGATGTGACGATTATATATATGTTGAATTTTTGTGAATATTTAGCTATTTAGAAGACTTTTTAGCTATTTTTGCAAAAAGGTTTTGCTATAAATGTTGTAATAAAAAAAAATCGCAAAAGATGCAATTCTTAAAGCTTTTAAAAACAATGGCGATAAATTAAGCTCTAGCTTATTAAAAATAAGCTTTTAAGAGTTTGCACTTTTGTATAGGTCCCGGGCATCGTGGAAAATCGGGTATTGCTAACAGCGACCCAGCAACATTACCAATATCTTGTGGAACAATATGTCGCATTTAACCACGCTGCCAAACTAACCAAAAGTAACGAAAACTAACCAACATTGTCGGGGTATTTGCCGGGTACATTGCCCTATTTATCATCTATGCCCGTAACTTATACATTTATGTCTCTAGCAAATAGCAAACTTATTTCATTGCTTCTCGCAACGAAGATTTACAGTGATGGAAAACTAATTAGAAACGATAATTTTAATTGTTGGTACTATGAAATCTGTTCAAGATATTTCGAATATCACATTATTGTTACTTATATACTATACATCGGTTTAAACAATAATTTTATGCCTTAATTTATTTAAAAAAAAACTGTATTTTTGAACAGTAATTTGAATTTGAATTGTTTTTAGTCAATATTTTTTAACCACACATCAGGTTTTGTCTCACTCTAATATCTAATATTTAGTTGGGCATCGAGTATCTTCAATGAATTTCAAATACCTCCTCGGCATGGACTGTATTAGGCATCTGCAAGTCTGTAATGGAATGTCGGTCCAAGCTTCTCTCATAGCCTCCCATAGTTCGTCAAAATTTTAAAAATTTCTCGAACCTAACGCGTTTTTGATGATCATCCACAGATTGGGTTAAGGACTGGGCCACAAGATGGACATTGTAAAAATGGCAGTGATCCTACTATCAAAATTCTTAGGATCATTACTCGTGCTGAAATTTCCAAAGAGTTGATATATTTCTTCTCCATAAGGTTCCCTTACGTTAATGCTTTCATACTGATCTATGGTACCAGTTATTCTGTAAAGTGGACCAAATTCGAAGGAAGATTAACATTAAATTATAACACAACTGGAATCTGTATTTTAAGAAGTTTTGTTATCTGGTTTTATTTAAAAGAACCCCTTTTTTTGACCATGTACTATACCATTTATTGTAATTGACAACAATAAATGTATTACTATTGTTACTGTAGCCACAATGATATAATATACGAAATATCTTGAACAAATTTCTTAGTCGTTGTATATTTTTATACTTTTTCGCGATAAAGGGTTTAATAATAGTTGCTACGGTAATTATTTAAATAAAAATAATTTTCTGTTGCAATTTGCAAGATTCTTTTTTTCATCAATCTTTAAAGAAAACCAAATTGAAAAGAAAATTGATATTTTATCATTGCCAATTTTACTTTGACGCTATTCTGGAGAGAAACGAATATAATATATAAAACATTAAAATGCGCGTTTGTTTAAAATTGTTATCCGACCGGATGCAGACGACGCTCCATCAATAATGGATTTTCTGTTTCAGTATTACGAAATGTCTTACGGCCTCAACGTGGAAATGCACAAACAGGTGAGTTCAATAACTCCGTCAAAATACCGTATATAATATATTATATAAAATTACCGATTTAATTCCCTACACGAAAACGTACTCGGCCGTATTACCCCCCATCCCTCGCCGGTAGGGGGGTTGTGGGGGGTCGGCGACGGCGACGGCGTAAACGCTTTTCGTCATACCGTGAATATTTTATCGCCTGGTAATTGTAATACAAAATGTATACGCATTAAGCCGACCGTATAAATATTTCAATTTATTTTAATTAACTTCTTTTAATTATTCAAAACGCACGCCCCGGCGTTTCTTCGCGGCCGTCGACCGGAGTCGCCCCGGAATATTTAATAATCATTATTTATTTTTATTGCTGTGTGAACGTGGGAGGTGGGTTTTCACGCGGACGGATTTTTTAAATCTTTTTTTGTCATATAGGCCAGCCGAATTAAAGGATAAACGCGTTGATTTTCGGAGAAACTGCCGGACAGTAGGTTTAAGGATAATGGTAGGATTGAATTGGTTTTGAAAACCGATCAACCATTGAATTTAATAATTAGTAACAAATTTGCCTTTCAATGCAATCGTTGCACCTTGAAAATACCTTTAAAATGAGCTGTGGTTTGGGTGGATCGGACAATAAACAAAAAAGTTGCGATAGAAAAACGTCTAAACTGTTTCTTAATTTATTAATTGTTTATAAACAAAAGCAAAACATATTGAACAAGCTTCATACGACAGCAAAAGAAGTCTCTTGGGCTATAAAAGAAGGCGTTTCATGTAAGTGTTCAATATTGTTCGCACTTATTTGTTAATAACGATTTTCTTTTTTTTTAATTGTTTATTTGAAACGATCCGGAAGTTCTGGGCTTTCTTAAGTAATGCTAAAAGAGAAAATTATCAAACATTGGTTTTAATTTTTTTCGTTCTTAACAAATAGAAAAACTAATAAAAATAGTGGGGAAAATATTGCTATCGAAACGCCGGTAACCGGACGTGATAGCTGATATTTTTTGACGAATTTTTTTGCGTTTTGGATTATTTGGTTTATAAATAGATTCACTCAAAACACAGCTATTGTATTGTATTTTGTATGACACTATTGATCGAACAATCTTTAGCTTCAGCCGCAAGTCAAAAAAAAGTTTTTTCATACCTTAAAAATTTTCCTATATTCATTCCATTACTCTCCTCGAACCTACTGTCTGTTACCAGGTTGAAATTAAAAGTGCCACAAATACTAATTGGTTTGGCTTAACACCCGTATATGTTCATCAAACCACACAAGATTAATTAATCAGCTTAAATAAGCGGTGGTATTGATACAATACAGGAATACAGGAATAGCAGGAATCCTCGGGGTGTTTAAAATAAAAATCGTCAAGTTTCATGTATTTTGAATATTAATTATTTTATAATATTTAGCTACACGTTTACTTGCATAAGAATTTTTATTTAATTTTTAACATTTGTTTTTTGCCAATTCCGCCCTTCTAAAGTGGAGTTTTTTATTTGATAAATTATTTTAAATATATACATATGAAAATTAAAAACCCCCTGTCAACAGCTTGCGTTAAATAAACAACTAATCGCGAAATTTCCGGTTAGGGAAAACAGGGAGAAGGTTAGATAGGAGTTACCTCCTCCCACCACTGTCTAGGATTTACTACGTTTCGCCCCCATCCCCCGAGCTCTATCCGTCGGTTGTCGGTTAAAACGCTGTCTGAAACGCCTCGGTCTTCCTGTTTACAAGTTAATCAACACGGTTTAGGTTTAATTTTATTGATGGTTATTATTTAGCTAGACAGGCATGGTCTGCGCAAATCCTTAATGATGGAAGGGTTAAAACGCTTTTTTTTGTCAATTTCAAACAAGACCATTTTTCTATAACCAGAGTCTGCAACCCGTACAGTGATATGGTCTAATATTTTAATATAAAGTTAAATTAAGTGAAGGTAACAAATAATAAATATAACAAAAGGAATTACAATCTCAGTAATGAAAGAAGAGGATGATCAGCGGGTGTTGCGCTTTTTGAGGGCACAAAAATTTGCAATCAGCGTTGTGAAACTTTATTTGGTTTACAATGAAACGGGTTGAGGTAATTCCTTAACTAAAGGAAATAAGTTAGAAGAACTATAAGTTACTTTTGGTAGACAAAAAATACCCGACCTACCTTAACAAAAGACCGGTAAAGCGTACTGACACAATATGGCGATATAACAGGCCACACAGGTTCTCTCGATATGCCAAATATCTCAAATTACACAAGTTGTAGAAAAAATAGGCACTATTGGGTGAGATACCGACTCACAACTATCTCATTGTCGGGCGTTACCGGTTGTAGCTCGATACGATAATCGTTTAATCGTGAGGGCGCCCTCTATCAAATTATAATTCAACTCGCAGTTGCAAATAGATACATAGAAACCGCTACATGTCAAAAATTTGGTTCGCTGCAGTGTTAAAAGGAACTAAAGGTTTTAATGTCTATTACAAACAGCAAAATTTTCTGGAGAATTTAAGATGTATTATAATCGCTGATGAAGTAAAGGTTGATTGTCCCTATTTGAGTGTTTAATCTGCCAATATATATTGTGGGTTGTGAAAACTCGAATATTCTGTCGACGAAGATATGCGGTGAATGTCGCATTCGAGCATTATCGATGTTGTTTTATTAGTCGCGGTAAAACTAAGATTGTTCCAGGTTTCCAAACGAGGCAATTTAGTAATATTTAATTTTTTTGTTCAATAGAACTAGTTTTAATTTTAAAAAATGCTTTATTTATTTTTTTAATTTGCAACTTTTGGTATCGGAACTTACAAATTTTCTACTTTTCTATTCTTTTTTATTTATTTATTTATTATTTCCCAAAAAAAATAATTTTCATTATCATCTTTACCCCCTCCCCCTCCCACTCACGAAGTTAAAGTATAATGGGTTGTGGAGGATCGCTCCTGGAAGCTGTGACGGAAAATGGTCGCAAAAGTTCGAAGACTACGGTCGTTAAAATTAAAGAGCAAATGTCGTAAAAAATTCAAAACGGGCCTCAAAGGCCGTTTAGAGTTTCGCCCCTTCGCAGGCGTCTCGCGGCAAACACGCTGCTTACACATGCAAACATATATCGGAGGGTAAAGAGAGGGCTGCGCACACACACCCACACACACCGACCGCACCGTTGGCAATTAACACACCCTCTCTCTATATCGCCGAACGACCCTTACGACCCTCGTCCGCCTCTCTCCCCGCGTAGCGGTCCGTGGGGCACTTTACGTGTGCGAAACAGTGGCGGTTCACTACCCGAAAAAATATGTGTTTCTGAAACTTGATTGATTGATCATTGCACGACGGCGCAAGTTATATATATATAAAAAAAATCGAATTTGAGTTGTGAAAAGTTTAAGATATTCCCTGGCGATTTACGAATACGCTCCCCCACCCCCAAATTTTCCAGGTCGAGGAGAATCTTGTCTATTCTAATATCGGAAACCAAAACACATTCCAATACATCCAAACTGCCAAAAGTCGCACGAGTTTAAGAAAGTTAGCAAAGAAGGCAGAGTTCAAAACGCGTTGTCATGGAAACGATATCGGCCACGTTAACCGGTTGTCATGGCAATCGACAATGGACAAGAATGGAAATCTTCTGTTTTCCAACCAATTCAATGCGCAGCGAGACGGTGCATCTTTCTATAATTACTTTAGATACGATCCGAAAAAACCCAGAGTTTCCTCTTCACATAATCTTTATTTATAAAACTTTACGAACAGACATGATTCAGGCAAAAACCTTCCTCAGTGGTCTAGAAAACTGCAATGTTCAGGGAAAAACAAAATCAAAATTGACGGACGTGTATACATAAAAGGAATCAAAATAACGATGAATTAAAACTAGAATTGGCGGATTAAAATTTGATAAATCTATCTATCTATTAGCGACAATCCAGTTGTTAGGACCAACAACCTCAACGCACAGACATGCGAGAAGTATATTAAAATTAATTTTTAATATTTATATACTAATGAGTACTAGGTATTACGCAAGATATTTCTTTCTAATAATTAGGGTAAATAAAATATGATAAATTATATGATAAATAATAATATAAAATAACTTTACGTTTTGTGACACGTATTGTCAACAATACAGTTGTTGCTGTAGGATAAAGGTTTTATTTTTTGACGTGAACCGCATTTGGCGAGTCCCGAACCAGTGTGTCCGGGTTAATTGTCGGGGTAAGAAAGTACGATGGGGCGTGACTGCCAAAATGGAAAAACTTATGTGACGCCCTATGGGGGAAACACTTCATGCAGTCGGTACGATTTGTGATGGCACATTCGGCAATAAAATGTCAGACAGAATAAAATAGATTGTTCATCTTGCTTCCACTTATACACAACTTGGGACTAAGAGAGAAAGAATCAGTTGTACTTTTCACTTTTATATTATGTATTTTCATGTAATAGTAGAATATGGTTTTCCATGTAATTATCCGGCATTTTGTGCTATCTCTGTCGAGTGTACAACACCGGGGCGTAATAGACAATGGTAGAACACTGGGAAATAAGTGGGTGGGTTTTGCCATTCTTAGTCTACGAGTTGAAACAGGTAAAATACTGAGGTAGCTTCTCTCTTGGTTTTATGATCGACTATGCTATCGCAAATCGTACCAACTATAATTAAGTAATCTCCTCCAAACGTCAGGGATATCTAAATCATAAAATAAAATTTGGACATCGTGCCTAGAATCAGGAGTTAAGACGTGTCCTGCAAATATTACCACCCTTACACAGAACGGCACATTATGAAAAATCTTTATTTACCAGACGCATGATTGTTATAATAAAGTGCCAAGTAGCTTAAAAGATCTCAGTAGCTTTGAATTTAAAAAGGGGATTTGTAAGATCGTCTCGTGCCCTTGGTAGAGCATCTCCTTATCTTTTGTATTCAAATTGCTGTTTTTTATAAGCTGACACTTTTTTTACGAATTCCTACTGATTTGTCTCGCGATATAGAAAA